AGGATATGTAAAACCCTTTCATAGCATTGTAATTTTATTTATTTATTTTTAACCGACCGCATTGCATACAAAAAGGGAAGTGATGTGATGGCACCAAATTTCACATATGAAATTTCAGCGGAAATGCATTTCTCCATGCTAGGGAAGCGTAATTAAACTAGTTTTAGAGAGATGTTGATCTGTCGGTCTGTCGTTCAATCGGTTTTTTGATCTGTCCGGCAGTTTGTCTATGCAGATCAGTATCTCAAATTCGACTGAACCGATTTTTATTCTATTTTGTTAATGAGATGGTTTGATCAACTTTTGGAATACGTTAGCAGTTACTTTTGGAATAAGCTTCGCATGAAACTATAAGAAACCACCTTTGGAAAAAATCTGGGGCCAGCAACTGAACTTCTAATCGACAAATTTTCTTGAAATTTAATATTTCGGATTTGTTACCTAAAATAACTGACGAACTTTTCAAGAAATTCGGAAAGCACCACAATACGAGTTCTACTGGGAGTCAAATTTATATTTTTCTCGGTAAGTAAACTAAAAGCTTATTCACGTTATTAAAATTTCAAAGAAGTGTTAAAGAGGGACTTTCCAAATTTTTGTGTAATAAACACTGTGCAGTCGGTTATGTGATGACCACATTAAATTTCTTGTTTTGTATTTTCCAGTAAAAACCAATAATTTTTTTTTTTTCATTTAAAATTTCATTTTGACTTAAATTTATTTTAAAAGTTAAATTTTCACAAACTATTAAATCTTTCGGGGATTTTTTTTTTTTTTGGTTTTTTTATTAAATTATAAAAGTTTAAAATGGTCAATATAACTATAATATTTGACAGTTTGTTTTAATGTGGATTTCCCCTAAAAATATGCAATAATATTTTATTTGTACATGAATATAATGTTTATAGGAAATTCAACAAAAATCTAAAATCTACAACCATTTTGAAAATAACATGACATAGCTAATAATGAAAATTTAAAATTAAATTCCAATAAAAGGAAACTTCTATTAATAAATGAGGACATGCTCCTAGAAAAGATGATTCTGCATATTTCCAATATTATTATTTATGATAGTGTATAAAATAAAAGCGTTTACACTAATCATTGATCTTCAAATTACTTCTTAATAAGTATTTTTGGTTTTCCGCAATACTTCGTTTCGCAGATAGTTCGGTTGTAAACTGGAAGGTTTCCAGGAAAAATTAAAAATGTTCCACATTAAAATATTCCACATTCCACCTATATATATATATATATATATATAAATTTTAATTTAACTGTTATATGAAGAAAAACTGGCATATTGGATTTGTTCTATCTATAATCAGATAATGATTTATAATAATTTGATCGAACACAACCATTATGTTGTAGAAAAAATACCGAAAATTTTTTATATATCTAATTTTCATAAATTATAATGTCGTACATTCCCCTTAAGTTGCAGCTTACTTTTCATTATTAAGTTATAAGAAACGTGAATCTTGTCAACATTGCATATTTCTCAAAGATAGTTTCCTCACAACTTATCAATCAGGAAATTGAATATTTCATTGAAAAATTCTTTATTCTATTAGGTACTCTTTAATTACTAAAATATTAAAGCATATAGCTACCAATTCTCAATTCAAAAGAAGTTTGCAATTTTCGTCAATTAGAAATTTATTAATCTTAAACACCATCACGAAATACGAATGATAAATAAGCCGAAAATTTTTCTTTAAAAATGTTCTCTCGTTAAATTCCATTTTCGACTTACAATACATATGAATGAGTAGTATAACACTTAAATCTATATATTCTTTTCAATTACATATTAAAATTCAAACATATTGTGCATATGTAACTCATATTTAATGCATAGCTTTATTTTTATATATTATTGAACACATATAGAGATATATTAAAATACTCCTTAAAATATGCAAACAGAAAAAAAAAAAAATCCCTGGAAAATTTTTACAATTTCTACTATTCGTCTCTAGTATTGAATAAAAACTAAAGGTAGAAATTTAAAATAATATTTAAATTAAAAATATGGTATGTATGTATGTACATATAAGAATGCATACATTTCGTTCAGTAATAAATTCCCATATACTGATCTATGTGTTATACAAAAATATGAAAGTATTTCCAGTAGAGATTTTCTTAAAAATTTTTGATTGAAAATTAATATGGGGATTAAGAATTCATTTTATATTCTTTAAACTTATACCCTCCCCCCCTCCTACCATGCCAAATCTAAAAGTTCTTACTATATACAATAGAAATTAAACTGTAATATTTTATCATTTAACAAAAAGTATCATTTAAGTTTCATTCAACTATTAATATTGATATTTTATAATATTTTAGAATTTGATAAGTTCCAATAACATTAGATTATAATGGATATTAATGATTTTTGATATAAACTATCAATCAGTTAATGACCTGAAAATTTAGGTCAAATTTGACAAGTTTTAACAAACACTTCAGTTTCCATTTTCTTGTTTTTTTTTTCCTCCTTCAATTTTGATTTTATGTTGTTTTTTTTGATAAATGTGTGAAAATTGAAAATAATTTTCGATGCTAAACTCTACTATTCTCTATCATTATATTGTTTTTTTTTTTTTTTGCAATTTGATTGATTGTGATTCCATTACAATATAGAAATTTAATAGATCGTGATTTATTAAAAGTTATAAAATACAGTTGACAATATTTTTTGTTTTTGCTATATTGATTAAACTAAGTATACCAAATACATAATTTATCTAGTGTATACAGGGAAAAGTTTAAAATAAAAAAAAAGGTAGAAGAAAATTTGTTCTCTAAATCAAAGGAAATTTTCATTTTTTTCCACTTCAACATCTTGTATATTCAACATTAGTAAAGATAAGCTTGAATAATACTAGATAAACTAATTATAATATTGCATGGAAATTGTATTTCATAATAATAAATTACGAGATATCTGATGTCCCAGTTCGATTACCCAATCAATTTTCATATTCTGGAATTCTGTTTCCTAAGCGTACAAATAGCAACAAAGGGGCGAACTTCTAATGCAAGATATTTTTATTGATTAAGGCTTTGCGTTTACATCTACAACGTCGATCTTATTTATATCATAAATTAAGCAATTTATTGTTAAAATTTTACAAGTTTTTAAAACAAATATAAAATATTGATTTCACTTATTAGTTAACAAATTATCACCTACTATGTAAAATTAATATTAAGCGAATTTTAATGGGGTCGATAGCAAAGAAATCCTTATATACTATAAATAATGTTAATTTTTGATTAAATACACGAATTATACAGAGTGACCCGCATAAAGTGACAAATAATTTTATGAACGATTCTTTTATCAATTTCCAGTAAAAAATTGTATGGGTGGGGATCGCTGCAGTTATAATTCTTTTCCAGCTACAACCTGTTGAAAACAAAGGTACTAGACTTTTCTTGCATATAAATTGGAGGTTTGTTTTATAGGTTTATTTAACACGTTTTACTATTTAATATTTAACACGTTTACAAATTTTCGAGCTCTTGAAAAAAAATTAAACAAAAAACCAAAAATTCTGATTTTGACGAGCTTTAAATCGGAAAATGTGGCTCAAATCTAATTAATTGTAAGACCAAAAATAAAGAGCAATTAATCGCCTATAAAACAACGTACCGATAGCTACTCTACGTCGCACAATTTCAAAGTTATGAGCATTTATTAATATGCAGAAAAAATTTGGTACCTACAATACTTTTTCTATACACACCGTAGCTCAAAAACGAGTACATTTGCATCCTCCCGCTGCAAAATTTGTTACTGTAAATTGAAATTAACCGCCACTTTCTGTGAAACACTGTATATGTTTTTGTATGTATACCTTTTTTTCATTTTAAAACACCTTCAATTCATAATATAAAATATTATTATTATTATTATAATAATTAATATAGCTATCAAGTATACTAGTACTTAATTATTATTCATATTACCCCATATACATATGTATATAAATTCAAAATATATTTTAATAATTAATTAGAATAAATTTTCATTTGATATTTTAATATATGGATTTGATAATTTCTAATAAATTCACAAATGTACAGAATCATAATGAGTAAATATTTGCAACTAAATAATAAATTAATATTGAGGTTTCTAGTCCTAAATGTTAATTAAATTCCATAATGGAAATGTATAGTTCAAAGTCGATACTTTCAATATTTTAATTTTATATTCTATATGTATGCTATTATGTAACTAAGTTTAATAATATCTTTATAATATAAACACACTGATATTATTATTGTAGAATTGTTAAATCAGAATCCTTAATTATTATTATTAAAGAGTGAGTGGAAAAAAAATTATTTGAAATCATTTAGTAATTATGAATTGAATATTAAATTTCATGTTAAACTCGTGAATATAATTAAAAATAATTATAAATAATTATAAAAACAATTCCTCTATATTTTGATTTATTTTATGAATAAAAGAAAAATGATCAGTGAAATCCTTTAAATTTTATAGAATATTATTATATATTTGTGTAATATTAATAGCCAGTGTTGATAGCTACTTCTACCCCTAAGTTAATATTAAGAACTAACGTTCAACAAGGATTTAATTATGACTAGATAACAGGTTATCAAATTTCATCTTGAAAATTTAATTAATTCTTATTTATTTATAGGTTATTACTAAAGGGTTCAAATTTGATAATTTATATTTGATGAACCTATCAGGAATTATGAACTTATCATGAATTTTGAAAAGAGAGATGCATGAGTAAATTCGCTTCCGAATAAAATATTAAAGCATGTTTTTATTCTTCACTCTAAGACGATCCAATACATTGTTTCCAATTAACTTTATTTGAAAATTTTATTTTACGTAATATAATTTTACACATTGTTCAATTATAATTACAAAATACAATTATTCATCAATTAATTTAACAATTTTTTCCAAAAAACAACATAAAAGACGGATAATTTTAATCTATTAGAGCAAACTCTTTTGCCTGTTCTCTTATTCGATTATTATATTCCATTATGTTTTTAGAATACATGCAAGAAGCTTCTTGTTGTGCTGGACTTTCAATATTTGGTTCATTCAATAAATTTTGTATACCAAATAATATTTGTTTAATTGTAATTGTTGGATGCCAATCAAATTCCAATAATGATAAACATATTTCTCCTGATGAAAAAATATTCGGATGAAATAATGGTGGATCAAATTTACATAATGGCGGATATTGAGGATAATTATTTCCAAAAATCATTTTTAATTTATATAAACCACCTTCCCAAATAGTATTTTTCTTTCCAGGAATTCCACATTCCCATATCATTAAATTCAATGTAGTATCCGAATTCTTTGTGGGACGAGCAAAAAAACCAAATGGATGATTCTTTCGCCATGATTTTCTTTCTTCTGTTAAGCGAGCTACAATCGGTGAAGACATCGTTATCCTTTTGTATTAAAATTATACATTAAATTTAATTTTTACTAAATAAAATTTTAAAATTTATATTGAAAAATTTGATTTCTTAAAAATATTTTAATTGTTTATAAAATACAAAGTAACAATCTATGACATGAACATTTGAAAATTTTAAAATATTATATTAAAAGTCAAAGTGAATCGTCAAAGTTATATACATAAAAGATTTTACAAAACAAAACCCTCTTGCTTTGAATATTTTTACTTTAGAAATTTTCAATTTTAAAGATATAGCTAGTTATTTTATTTATTACATATTGCAATAGAGGAGGCTATGTGATGGCACCATGAATTTCGGATGTCAAGTTTTCAGTGGGAACCCACTTCTCCCTAGTAAGGAGATGCCGGGATGTTGGTCTGTCTGCTTGTGTTAAAATTTTACATGTGAGTTTATTTTGGTTATGTCACAGATTGATAAACTTTTAGGATATCCCAGGCTTCGGGAACTGAACTGTTTTCCGGGCCCATCTTACATTTTTGCGCATACGAAGAGAAATAATCAACCAATTTCCTTAAAATTTAATAATTAAAATTTTTGGAAAGACCAGGCCTAAGAAAACGAATCTATGGCTGATTTTTGATTTTTTACCATTTCACTAATATTCTTGAAATTTTAATATTTGACTTTTAACTGTTTCCAAAACTGGTAAGCTTTTCAGAGAATTCGAATAGCACAAAATGGAACTCTGAGAGCCTCTAATATTTGACTTTTAATATTTGACTTTTGTTTCCAAAACTGGTAAGCTTTTCAGAGAATTCGAATAGCACAAAACGGAACTCTAAGAGCCATATTTGCATTTTTCGAGGAATGTAAATTAAAAGCTTATTAATGTCCTTAAAATTGTAAATATGTGTTTAAAGCCCATTTGCATAATCCTCTGTAACACTTTCACTAAACTAGAAGCACTGTCGTCGGTTATGTACTGACCACATCAATTTTTTTTTTCTTCTAATGCAAACGAAAGGAAATGTAAAGAAATTTATTAAAAGGAACAAATTGAATTTAATTTAATTTTACAGGAATAAAATTGTCGTTATTTCTCATTTAAATTGCTTTTTATTTAATAAAGGATAAATAGAAAATATGTTTAGGGTTACCAAATAGGGGTTGAAAATTTCAAAATTTATTGAGATTTAAAAGGTTTATTTTTGAAATATTTCATTTTGTATATTGAAAATAATTAGTAAATGTAGTTGGATTTCGTATCCGTTGTGCAATAATTTTAAGCTAGTTAAAATAAAAATATTTTTTTCGAAATTAATAAAACTCATAAAATTGTGATAGCAATCCCTATAAAAAAAAATTACATTTCTTTGGCAATAAAATATTTGAAATGCGTCTCATTACAGTCCTAGTGTTATCTTTGAAAAAAAAAATTGATCACCGAAACAATAATAAAGATTTATGGTTAATTTTTACTAAAATAAATGATTTTTTGCTAATATAATAAAATTTTGTTAATAGAAAAAAAACTTGGGAACAGGAGCAGATATACTCGCTTTCCAGTTAGAGCGCGTGGTAAAAAAAAGGTACAACATTTTTCCAACATATAAATAAATTATTATAATTTCGGGAACACGCGACATAGAGTTATCATCTGAGACTTGCTTTACAGACAATTAGTTGCTTTTTACTTTCTGTCTTACAGTCAATTTGATTTCAGCCATAGTGTTTGAGATAGAGCTCGCCAAAATCAGAATTTTTATAGCAGCCAGCACTCGGTTTAGCAGGAAATCAAATAAAGATTAAGAAAATTATTTAGATTAAGAAGGATTTGTTACTTACTATGGCGAGAAAATATAATTCTAAAATATTCAAATATTTCACTCAAATATTTAAATTTCAAATTAATATCATTTTAGTGAAACATTTCTGAAAATTCATTTTATCTATTTTAAAATGAAATTAAATGAATCAATACACTGCCGCCATAATATTTCCTGTGTTTTATTAAAATATATAATAAAAATGAATGATAATATATGTACTACAAATATCTAATATCAAGAGATTAAAATATTTTAAAACCAAAACTTAATGGAAATAATTTTGAAATTTCTTAATATTCGCGTCGTATGTGTACTTGTAATTTCTGAAAATCCATTATAAGAAAATTTTATATAAAACTTTTATTAAAAAATTTTATTTTAAAATCATTTATAATAGAAAGTTTTTAAAATATTTCATGTACATATGCACATACATATCTTTCACACTTATTTTAGGAACTCAAATAATATATAAATACATATGTACATACATTTTTAAAATTCATAAATTCTTATATTCACATATTTCTATATTCTGTAATGAATTCAATTAAATTATAAATATATTATTTGAAGCTCTTAATCCGAAAGTAAAATATGATTACCAAGAAATTGTTAGAAATTCTTCTTAATATTTTATATGTGTTTGATTTCTTTATTAAAAATATTATTTTCTTATATCTATATATAACATACATAAGAAAATAATTTTTCAATATTAAAATATTAAAGTTCTTTAATTTTTCAAACATTTCTTAAAAGTTTCAGTCATCCTGAATTGAATTTTCAATTAAAAGTATACCATCAAAATATATGAATAATTATAAAATGTATAAAAGAAAATTTTGCATTTTAATTATTAAAATTAAAATTAATATTACTAGATGTTAAATATAATAATATGTATGTGTATATATGTAGATTTTTAAGTCATATGTTGATGTTATACTTACATTTTCTCTCATAATAATAATTTACTGTTAAATACGTCACATTTGAATTATTTCTTTTGTATTATTTTATAAATCTCTAAATATTTTAATAATTAATTTTATAAATTTCATCTATTGTAATGAAATTAGATCTTAATGAAATTGGATTTTTTCTGTTTTTTCTTTGCCCCAGTTGGGGACCGAGGCCCGTATTCTTTCACGTCGACCAATAGAATTATATTATACGACCAACCTACAATTCTATTATTCCTAGACTCCTGACAAATTACAGTATGGCAGCATTTTGAACCTGCGAGAATTCTATTAGGGTTACAAAGCCCCTTCCGAAGCTTCACAATTGCAGGCGTGTTACCGCCTCATATTTACACAATGAGTGCTCCACCATATCGGCCTTCTCCAAGCAGAAACGGCAGATCTCATCCTCCACCTCGGCTTAATCCTGCAAAACCTTAACTCCTTTAATATCACTTGTGTGGAAATGTTTGGCTTTTCAAATTCGATTGCTGTAATTTAATATTGAAAATTTGGCTATATTATTTTATTTAATAATTTCTCGAATACATACTCACTCCTACAACATTTTTCACATCCGTTTATTTCCATTTTATCACAAAATTATAATGATTTACTTTTACTGCTCCCTAAAAGTATGCAATATTAGAGCTATTAAAAAATGTCTTCCTTGTTTTTGTCTTTGAAATAAAAAACGTGTACTTTACAACAAATTATTCGAATACTGCCATTTTTCTTATGTGATTTATTACTAACTGATAGTAGAAATAAATGCTAACTCCTAAAAGTATTACAAAAAAGACTGCGAGCTTAAATGATTTTTTTTAAAATATTAAGCAATTTTTTTACGATATTTCACTATTTTCTTTGAATTTTCGATATTAAAGTTACTTATTACAAATTTATTAAAATATTAATTTATTAATTGTCAAAAAAAAAAAATATAATATCTTAACCCCTTCCTGAACTTAAAAACTTTATTTGCAATTTAAGTTTTACCGGAACAGCTTTTTTTTTATCCTATATCTATCTTAAATAAATTCATGTATCAGAAAATAAATAATTATTAGTTCATTTCGAATATAGTATACTCGTAACAACTAAGTACAATTAGAACATATTAAAAACTTTTTTCTTTATCTTTTCCACTATTTCGAAGTTTATCCATCTTAATCCCTGAAAGGAGAAGAAAAAAAATTTGCGGAACAACAAACATTAATAAATTCACAACTATATAGAGAAGCTAAAAACCAAAAAAAAGAACAAGAAGAAGAGAAAAAACAAGGACTTAAAAACTTTATACTTTTCAAGATTTGACAATATTTTTCTTTTTTTTTTGTTTTTGAATATAAGACTTGAAAAGGACATTTTATTTCTTTAATTTTTATTTTCCTATACATTCTATTACGAGCGGATAGTATTCAAAGTTAAAAAATATCAAAATAACTTTTTGTTTTTTTTTTTTTTTATAAATCTGTGTTAAAAGAATTTCTTGAAAACAAAACGAATAAACTATAATAAGAACTATTTAAGCCACAGTTTTTTGGAATTTATTTTGGATTAAAAACCATTTAGATTTGTAAAGTAGAGGTGTCTAGGTAGTATATTTAAGTTCATAATATAGGAAATGAAATTTACGGTATTAAAATATTTTTTTTAATACTTTCATATTTTTTTTGAATATTTGTATAGAAAGTTTTTAACACAACAAAAATGTTATTTGTATTAAAAACTTATGAATTTGTACGAAATGTTTTTCTTAAAATTTGTTAAATTTTTGCAATTATATGAAAATTTTCACAACATTTTGTAAACAGGTAATTTACCAATAATTAGAATATGTCCCCGGATCAGGTTCTAATGATCTAGATTCACACTTCATTCACTCATTGCTGACTATACTGAAATTTTTTAAATGTATTTTTTCTATTGTAAAAATGTAGATTAAGTTATATGAAAAATTACAAGTAACTAATATGCAAAAAAATGAGGGAGAGCAATCTTAGTTAAAGGTATTATTTTTAGAAATTTTTTTATACCGTAAAATGCCAGATCCCTGTCACTTACCATACTTCTAAAACCGACTCATAAAACTGTTTGATATTCTTATTGTTACATACACATAAGCACTTTACCTATACAGTACTCTGGAAAATTTCTACATGAATTTAATTCAAGCATAATTAGCAATACTCATTTGTTAATAGCTACTGCAAATTAATCTGA